GGGAGGAATTCAAAATTATTGTAATTTAATTTGTAAGTAATTTTTTATTGTAATTTGTGTGTATGTTTGTGTGTGTGTGTGTGCGTGTGCATGTTTTAATTGCCTCTGCTGGAGCCCGGGCTGGCACTTTATTTCCCAGCCCCGGGCTGGCACTTTATTTCCCAGCCCCGTGGCACCTTTCCGTGGTTGGCCAAGCTCCTGCTCTCCCCGCAAAAGGCAGCCTCGCCACTGCCTCTCTCTATTCCCTTTGCCCGCTGTCGGTTAAGAACAAAGCCCATGGTGGGGAAGCTGCTTGTTTGTCTGTCTGGGATTCTTTGGGGTGTGTGTGTGTATGGCGGACATACCGCTGGGAGCGGCCAAAAGCCTCTTTCTTGACAGCGGCCAAAAGCCACTTTCTTTCTTTTTGCCACACCAGCCATAAACCTCACCGCACGTCACTGGTATGAATGTAAGTTATAGGGGTATGCATATAATTAATTAATATCAATGTAAAACTTGAATAGAAATCAGTTTTAATTCTTTTTAAAAAATTCAACAAAGAATTCAATTCAATAAAATTGTTGTACTGATAACTTCTTTACTTTCACAATACTGTACAAAACTTGAAGTCAGAGAAAAGATAATATATCAACAGAGTACACTTATACCTTACTATTCATTACACTGGGAAGTTATTTCCTGGTAAAGTATTTCCGAATTGTGAACAATTTAGGATTATGGAAAACTATTGTTTTCTGTTTTTTAAAATATGTCTTTATAAATACATTTTTCTTACTAAAATATATTAGAAGTTCAGTAAAAAAAAAGACTGCATTTTCAGTAATACTCCACTTGGTGGCATTAACAAGTGATTTGTAGGAAAACACCAAAGCCGACTTATACAAAGACTGAAAATAAAGTCAAATGTTATTCAAATAAAATATAATTTTGTTACTTGGGAATAAAATGCCATATTTCAAAGAGATAGTAAATTGGAAAGAGCTTTAACTTAAGATTTCTTTATATCTGAGTTAAAACTCTTTCCTCTTACATTATTTTGCCAATGCTTGCAATAATATTATATATGGTGTTGTGTTATTTTAAAAATAGATATGCATCATTCTAAGTAATAACATACCATTGAAATGCATCTCTCTGAAAATCAAAACATGATGTGAGAAAATGGATGTATGTTTTATTTATTTTAAATTTACAGTGTTAAAGCTGGGTGATTTAATCATTGCATTTCTTCTTTGTTATGACTCCTGACATTCTGATTTAAAATAAACTCCATTAAATATATTATTGTAAGATATATTTCTAGAATCTTTCTCAAATCAGATGTTCCTGAGATAGGCGAACCAATGTCACATCCTTATAATCCCATCTTCCTTTCCCCCTGCAAATCAATCTCCACAGAAACATTGCAGATAAAAAAAGTTATTTCCATGGCCTCACTGATTAGGAACAGATTATTCATGTTCTACATTTCACAGAAGTTTTAACTAGAAGCTGCACCAAAGTCAATCTGTTTTCTTCCAACATCAAAGTAGGGAGAGCATTTAGGAGACACAATTTGCCTGATTTCTATACCTAGTCCTGATTATTCCCTCCAATCAGTCATCAGGATTAATTTAATTAATTAAATTAATTTAGTGCCTTTATATGTTTATGTGGTAGAAATAGGTGGTACAAACTGGGAACGTGAGATTATGGGAACAATGTGAGTTCTAGTTCTGTTTAGGCACAAAACCAACTGGGTGATTGGGGCCAGTCACTCTTTCTCAGTCCTAAGAAAAAGGCAATGACAAATCATTTCTGAAAAACCGTGCTAGGAAAACAGCAGGGACTTGTCCATGCAATTTCCAATAATTGTTCTTGATTGAACGGAAGAAAAAAAGTATGTTTGCATGCATAAGCATATGAATCAATATCCTAAATTTAATTAATTGATGTTTCTATTTTTAAAAATGGAATCCTGTTGAAAATCTGAGTCTTTAAAACTCTATTAAACTCAATTTGTCTTTTTTTATGCAATGTGCTGCTGCTGGAAAAGCAATATTGTAGGTTGTTTGGAGTGCTCTTGAATTATTATCCGAATAAGTCAATTCCCCAATCATCTGTTATATGCTTATGACCTCAGCTACTTGTCTTCAAATTCCTCTGCTTACTCTTAATTCTATATATTGTGAATTCCAGATTCACCAATAAGAATACTGCCTTTCATCCTATAAGTTCCAACAACTCCCAGGCATTACTGTATCAACATCATAGGCAAATATCAAACAGCCTGAATATAGTCTTACTATGTATAAGTCTGAATCATATTAAATTATATTAAATATTGATATTCAACATAGCCTTCTGTGGTTGAGTACTGTATGTAGTTTGCTAGAAAAACACGCAACTTTTTTCTGATGAAAAGATTTGTAACTAATTATCCAGTAACACTGTATAAGTCTTCTCCATGCACATAAACATGAAGTATGTACACAAAAGAGAAGTAGTGTGATACAGTGTTTAAGATGCTTGATCTGGCTGGAAAATTCCAGGGTCTAATCCTTCCTTAGGCAAAAAATGATCAGAGTGATTCTGGGCTCATCACTCTCCTCTACCCTAGATTGAAAAACATTTATCTATCAATTCATACTGGATCAGAGTGGTAGATCACAAGAGACTTTGAAGTTTTGCAACACACACACACACACACACACACACACCTCTGTCTCTGTATGTATTCAAACTCACACAGAAAGAACCTCTTTTTAATGTGAAATATGTCAGCTTCCTGATTAGAATGTCTTCTTTTCCAAATTCTATTTTCTGCATCATTCTTTCCGAACACTTCCTGTCATCCATACACCTAATGTTCACAAAGGCCCAATTAATGCTTTATTTATTTTTCACATTTTGAACCACCCATCTTCCTCATAGAGGAACTTTTTTTAGTTTCTTTGATATATTTAGTTTGATCTTACAAATTTTAAACTTCAAGGCCATATCATAAATCATTTTTGAGTACCTATTAGTTACAGGATTTCACTGAACTTTATGTGATGTTTGCTTTTAACTTTGATCCCCCAAAACAAGCACAAATGTGCTGAACTTAAACTTTCCATGGTTGATTTTAGGGTTGCACTCAATATTTAGCAATCTTGGTTTTCAGCACAAAAAAAATGATTTGAGAATAAGAGTGAACATTTTTCCAGAAAAATAACTATCCACTTCCAGCAATATTTGCCTTCTCTCACACCTGTTTGGCACAGCAATTGTAACAGTCCAGTGCTTTAGTGCTATTTTTAATAAAGTTAGAAATGTCTTCAGAGAATGATCTGAGCAAATTTCTGAAAACATGGTGACATCATACTGACACATAACTAAACCCCAGGAAAAGAAATAGCAATAAATGCAAATGCCAGACTGGTTGTCCATAGATACTGTGTATTATTAATGTGAAACTAAAGAAAGCTTATTCAAAACTTTTAGTGAACAATGGACATTTAACCTAGCGTCCAATTGGATATTCCATTAATGAAAGCAATTTCCTCTGATAGAACAGAAATTATTTTTCTTCCATTTCTACTCTCAAAATCTGCTTTGGAGAATCCACTCTCTGAAAACAAATTAGTTTGATTGTACATGAAAAGCTGCACCTCTAATGCTAACCAAAAATATCTAAAGCACTACTGGATTCCATTCATACATATCATTCCATTCATGAAGCCAATTTCCATCAAAATGCCTGAAGGCAGAACGTATTTCAGTACCAGTATTAACCAGGTTGAATATTTGACTGAGATACACTGTTTCTCACTCTCTTTCTCTCTCTAACAGACATTAGTATAATGCATTTTAAAATTTCATCATTGAAATGGACTTGCTACGAATTTTGCAAAGCACCAGAAGGCAAGACAAGAAAAAATGGATGGACACTAATCAAGGAGAGAAGCAATGTGGAATTAGGGAGAGAGAAGCAATGTGGAATCAAGGAGAAACTTTCTAACTGGGAAAACAATTAACCAATGGAACAGCTTGCCTTCAGAAGTTGTAGGTGTTTCATCATTGGAGATTTTTAAGAAAAGATTGGACAGCCACTTGTCTGAAATGGTATAAGGTCTCCTGCTTGAGCAGGAGGTTGGACTAGAAGACCTCCAAGGTTCCTTCCAACTCTATTCTGACTTTCTGATCTTCTGAATATAAAATGGGAAAAAGTAAGCAGATAACTTGCCTGTTCATTCTTGGTAAGCCTAGTTTTATTATGAATATCCGATGTAACTAAATTGAACCCATGCCTCTCGGACAGAATTCTTAACAGCAAAACCACAGTCCGACTCCCACATTTTCCAACTCTGTTGTATACCACCTGGCTTGGGAATGGAAGGACCTAGGCAGAAAAGATAAAAAGATGTTAGTCTTCCTATTTGAAAATATTTAAGTGCAATAAATGATATTGTTTTGACTTGAAATTGGAATTTTGAAAATGCGTACTTCAGACGCAAAGAAATCCGAAAGTATGAAATATTGACAAAGCAGAAAATATTTCTTTTTTCTCATTCTAGAATAATGCTCTTGGATTATTATATCAAAGATGGGAAATACCCTGAGGAATCATAATATTAGCAAAATTATTATGAAGGAAAGCTCTAGTGCACAGATTATTTATGTCACAGTGATCTAATATTCGATTGGTATCATACTCTTAAATTCTTTTCTCCTTCAGTGTGCTAAAGATAAAATTCAATTTCCATTACTTAGTCTGATTGCACTTTTCAATTAACAGAGGACTTTTATCTGCATTTCCTCTCTTTGTAATTTAAGACAGAATACTGAATACATATTTGTGTTTTATTTCTTGTAAATCTAAGGTCTTAATATGTCACAAACCATTCAGGATTATATCCCTTTCTAGGAAATTATCCAAAGAACAAGAATAAATAATCCTTGGTGAGACAAAATACTAATTATGTCTTGAGTATGATGAATTGGTGAACTAACATTAATCCAAGAACCTCAAATAGTAAACACATGCATTTCTTATTTGGATAGTTGTATTAAGTAATGACTTGTCAAGTAAGGTTTCATATCTGTTTACATATCTTCAAGTACAAAAGTTATAATAGATTCATACACATAATCAGTTCTCAATGGCTAAACATTAACCACAAATACACATAAATAGGTTAAACGTAATAAAACTAGTCAGGTATTATTTGAAGTAAGCTTCTATGCTTATTCACTAAACCAGTTTTTCTATACTTGCATTTCACTTTAAAATCAAATTAAGGCAGTTTCTGCCAAGCACACAGAACAGAACAGAACCAAGTTGGAAGGGACCTTGGAGGTCTTCTAGTCCAACCCCTTGCTCAGGCAGGAAACCCTACCATTTCAGACAAATAGTTGTCCAATCTCTTCTTAAAAACTTCCAATGTTGGAGCATTCACAACTTCTGGAGGCAAGTTGTTCCATTGATTAATTGTTCTAACTGTCAGGAAATTTTTCCTTTCCAATTAGTTTCCATCCATAACTTCTTATCCTGCCTTCAGGTGCTCTGGAGAATAAGCTGACTGCCAGAGGTGATATT